CCAAGAAGAATGAAGTCCTTAACAACTTCAATCTTTTCTCCATTGGTAAGAATGTTGTTTATTGGTCCAGTGGTGAGGATTTTTGTTTCCTTGACATTGAGATGTAATCCATATCAAAGGCTGTGCTCTTTGATCTTCATCAGTAAATGTTTCAAGTCCTCTTCACTTCCAGCGATCAAGGTTGTATCATCTACACATCGCAGGTTGTTAATGAGTCTTCCTCCAATCCTGATGCCGCATTTTTCTTCGTAGAACCCAGCTATAAATATGATGAAAGAATACAACCCTGGAACACACCTTTCCTAATTTTAAGCCACTCGTTGTCCCCTTGTTCTGTTTAAACAACTGCCTCTTGGTTTATGTTCAGGTTTCGCATGAGAACAATTAACTGTTCAGAAATACTCATTCTCTACTATGCTGTCCATAGGCTGTCATAATTGACACAATCAAAAGCCTTTGCATAGTCAATAAAGCACAGGCAAACATCTTTTTCTGGTCTTCTCTGCTTTCAGCCAAGATCCATCTGATATCAGTAGTGATATTCCTTGTTCCACTTCCCTGTCTGAATCTAGCCTGAACCTCTGGAAGCTCTATGTCAATGTACTGCTGCAGTTCTTTTTAGATTATCATTAGCAAAATTTTACTTGCATGCAATACTAATGACATTGTCCAATGATTTCCACATTCCGTAGGGTCACCTCTCTTTGGAATGGGCACAAATATTGATCTCTTCCAGTCAGTTCGAATCATTTTGAAAACTTTATGGAAAGTGAAATAAGTCAATTGCAAAAGGACAAGTATTGTATGATCACACTTATATGAAATAAATAGTCTAGAGATCAATGATTATTAGTGGTTACCAAAGGTAGACAGGAGATGGGGCAAAAGAAAATTCAGCAATTAGAGGACACTGAGCTCATCTTCAGGATGAACGAAAATTTGGAATAGAAAATGATGATGGTTGAACAGCATGATGGAAATAATTAATGCCATGTTGAAATGACTAATGTATTATTAGATAGGTAGATAGATAGAAAGATAGACAGACAGATAGAATCCTGGTGTGTTGTAGGATAAGTACTGGACTGCTAACCACAAGGTCAAACCCACCAGTTACTCCTCAGAACCTCTATGCAGGGCTGCTATGAGGAGGGACCAACTCAACTCTTAAAGACAATTGTATATCTGTTGTTGTTGTTGTTGTTGTTAGGTGCCATCGAGTTTGTACCAACGCATAGCAATCCTATGCACAACAGAACAAAACACTGCCCAGTCCTGGACCAATCTTACAATTGTTGCTACATTTGAGCCCATTGATACTGCCACTGTGCCAATCCATCTCACTGGGAGCCTTCATCTTTTTCTCTGACCCTACATTTTATCAAACATGGTGTCCTTCTCCAGGGACTGGTCCCTCCTGACAACATGTCCAAAGTATGAGAGATGAAGTCTGGCCATCGTGGCCTCCAATGAGCACTCTAGCTGCACTTTTTCCAACACAGATCTCTTGGTTCTTTTGGCAGTCCATGGTACTTTCAATATTCTCCTCCAACACCATAACTCAAATGCATCAATTCTTCTATGGTCTTCCTTATTCACTGTCCAACTTGCACACGCATATGAAGTGATTGAAAATACCTTAGTCCTCAAGCTTTGCTCTTCAACACTTTGAAAAGGTCTTTTGCAGCAGATTTGCCTAATACTCATCTGATTTCTTGACTGCTGCTTCCATGAGTGTTGATGGTTGATCCAGGAAAAATGAAGCTCTTGACAACTTCAATCTTTTTTCCATTGACAAGAATGTTGTTTATTGGTCCAGTGGTAAGGATTTTTGCTTTCTTTACATTGAGGTGCAATCCATACCAAATGTTGTGGTCTTTGATGTTCATCAGTAAGTGTGGTGTGCCACTGTGGGTTAAAACACTGGACCGTAAGACTGGTGTGAACCACAAGGTTGGTGGCAGTTCAAACTCACCAGCTGCTCTTTGGAACACCTATATGGTGTTGCTATGAGTCAGGGCTAACTCGATGACATTCAAAAACAACAACTCCTCACTTGTTAATACGGATGGTTAGGTTCCAAAGACAAGGCCATTATACAAAAACTTGGCATTATTTGAAAATGGAGGATGACCACACCAGACCACAAAATGTTGGATGACTGCATCCAAAAGTCAGTGGAAAAAATTCATTGTCTTTTCATTCCACACCCCACAAACTTTTTGAAACCCCTCATAGCTACCAGATTTCATTATTACACAACTGCAACATTACATCATTACGTAACTGCCCAGTTAGTAACATAAGAGACCTAAACACTGGATTAAGTAGCCCTGGTAGCATAGTGGTTATGAGTCGGGCTGCTAACCTCAAGATCAGCAGTTCAAAACTACCAGCCCTTCTACGGGAGAAAGATGAGACTTTGTGCTCCCTTAAAGATTTACAACCTCAGAAACTCTATACAGGGTCGTGATGGGTCGGAACTGACTCGACGGCACTTAACAACAACAAACACTGGATTGCAAGGTCAGTTTGGACCACAAGGTCAGCAGTTCAAACTTACTAGCTGCTTCCTCAGAAACCCTATACAGGATCTCTGTGAATAACTAGGTGGCACTTAACAACAACAACAACTTCGGTAATGAAGACGCTAGAAAACCAGGAATTCAGCCACATCCGCCCAGCTCCATCTTGTGGCTCTGAATTTTGTAGCGAATCTCTAGACTTCTTGGTCCCTGAATTTATGACCACCTACCATTTGTTTTTTCTTTCCTGCATTTAGATTTGGTTCTACACCAACAGTATCTTTGAAACAGCTGGGATCCCTTCAGAAAAGATCCCATACATCACCTTGAGCACAGGCGGTATTGAGACTTTGGCTGCCATCTTCTCTGTAAGTACATTGAAAACACTCACTTCAGGGACCCCAGGTGAAGGACAAGCGTGCCTCTAAAGACCCGTTAGTCCTCCAGACTGTCTGCAGCTCACTATACCTCCATCACTGACATTTTACACATCTAGAGAAGATTCTTCTGTATGTTTCACTTCCCTATTGCTGCTGAAGAGAACCCTGGAGGCAGAGTGGGCCAGGTGTTGGGCTGCTGACCACAATGTCAGTGATTTGAATCCACCAAGGTAGAAAGATGAGGTAATGCACTCCTGTAAAGATTTACAGCTTTGGAAACACCATGGGGACAGATTTACTCTCTTCTTACTATGTATGATAAGCACTGGACTGCTGACCATAAGGGTCACTAAGGAGCCATGATGAGGTGGTGGGATAAGCATTTGGTTGCTAACTGCAAGACTGGTGGTTCAAACACACCAGGTGGTCTACAGGTTAACGATGAAGCTTTTTGCTCCCGTAAAGATTTACAGCCTCAGAAACCCTATATAGGGTCACTGTGAGTCAGGATTGACTCGATAGCAGGAAGGTTTGGCTAGAGGAGAGCTATGGGTCAGAGTCAACTCGATGGAAACAACTTTAGTGTTGAACAACACCCGTGGTGCTGCAGTGGTTAGAAGTTCAGCTATAACCTAAAGTTCAGTGGTTCAAACCCAGCAGCCGCTCTGTCGGAGAAAGACGTAGCAGTCTGCTTCTGTCATGATTGTTGTTGTTAGAGGTGTCATCAAGTTGATACTGACCCATAGCGACTTTATGTGCAACAGAACGAAACACTGCCCGGTCCTGCGCCAACCTCACAATTGTTGCTATGCTTGAGCCCATTGATGCTGCCACTGTGCCAATCCATCTCATTGCGGGTCTTCCTCTTTTTTTTTTTTGACAATATTCTGGTGCTCTTCATCATGTTTCAATATTCAATATTCTGGTGCTATCTGACAGTGTTCCACTGCTAGTCAGTGACTAAGCATTCAGAAGTAGTCCATCTCTCCTTCTTCCTAGTTTGTCTTCCTCTGGAAGCTCAGCTGAAACCTGTCCACCATCAGTGACTTTTCTGGTATTTAAAATACCGGTAGCATGGCTTCCAGAATTACAGCAGCATGTAAGCCACCACAGTATGACAAACTGACAGACAAGTGGTGGCTATAAAGATTACAGCCCTATAAATTCTATAGGGCAGTTCTATCCTATAAGGTTACAATGAATCAGAATCAACTCGGCATCAACAGGGTATTTTATTTAAATCATTGTAGAAATGGTTTGTACTCACCCATGGTTCAGTGGAAGAAAGGCCTGGCAATCCCCTTCCATAAAGATCACAGCCAAGAAAAGTCCACGGAGTTCAGTTCTACTCTATAGCACATAGAGTCGCCATGTGTCAGAATGGACTAGGCAGCAATGGCTTGTTGTTGTTGTTAGCTGCCCCTGAGTTGGACCCAAACTTAAGGTGACCATATGTGCAATGAATAAAGCACTGCCCAATCCTGCACCTTCCCCAGAGTCTGTTGTAATTCAAACCATTGTCATCTATAGGGTCATTAACTCCTTTTCAGAAGTAGCTCACCAGACTTTTCTTCCTAGTCTTTCTTAATATGGAAGTCCCACTGAAACCTGTTCAGCAGCATAGCACAAGCCTCCATTGACAGGTGGTGGCTGCACATTGGTTGGGAAGTGAATCCAGGTCTCTGGCATACTAGGAAAAAGTTCATCACTGAACCTCTGCAGCCCCCATTTCATGTCTTTGTTGTTCCAACTCATAGCGACTCTGTGTACAATAGAACAAAACACTGCCCGGCCCTGCTCCATTCTCACAATTGTTGTTAAGCTTGAGCCCATCGCTGCCACTGTGCCAATCCATCATGTCTTCCTCTTTCACGCTGACCCTTCACATTACCTAGCATGATGTCTTCTCCAGGAACTGGTCCATCCTGATAATATGCCCGATGTATGAGAGACAAAGTCTGGTCATCCTGGCTTCTAAGGAGCACTCTGACTGTACTTCTTCCAACACAGATTTGTTTGTTCTTCTAGTAGTCCGTGGCACTTTCAATATTCTCTTCCAACACCATAACTAAAAGACACCGATTCTTCTATGCTCTTCCTTATAGATTCTCTTTTAATAAATTCTTCTCTTCTTTTACACTTTTGCTGTTGTTGTTGTTAAGTACCACTGAGTCAGTTCCAACTCATAACCACCCTTATAGGGTTTCCAAGGGGCAGCTGGTGGGTTAGAACAGCCAACCTTGCAGGTCAAACTGATCTTACAGTCCAGCACATTATCGTGCAGTGCCACACCATGACTCCATCACAAAATACACAAGAGAGCCACATCATTCCTAAGAGTTGACTCAGAAATTTCATGGCAGCCTTAAATCCACTGCCCATGACTTCAGAAATGATCCAAAGTCATCAGCTGTCATCTCACTACCACGAATATGTTGTCGTTGTTGTTGTTAGGTGCCGTCGAGTCAGTACCAAGTCATAGCGACCTTATGCACAACAGAACGAAACACTGCCCTGTCCTGGGCCAACCTAAAGTTGCCGCACCTGAGTCCATCGATGCTGCCACCTGGCCAATCCATCTCCTTGGGAGTCTTCCTCTTTTTCTCTGACCCTCCACCTTACCAAACATGAGATCCTTCTCCAGTGACTGGTCCCTCCTGACAATATGTCTGAAGTATAAAAGATGAAGTTTTCTGATCCTGGCCTCCAAGGAGCACTCTGGCTTCTTCCAACACAGATCCGTTCATTCTTTTAGCAGCCCATGACACTTTCAATATCCTCCTCCAACACCATAACTCAAAAGCATCAATTCTTCTACAGTCTTCTTTATTCATTGTCCAGCTTTTGCATGCATATGAGGTTATTGAAAATACCATGGCTTGGGTCAGGAGCATCTTAGTCCTCAAGCTGACATCTTTGTTCTTCAACACTTTAAAAAGATCTTCTGCAGCAGATTTGCCTAATGCAATATGTTGTTTGATTTCTTGACTGCTGCTTCCAGAGTGTTGATAGTTGATCCAAGAAGAATGAAGTCCTTGACAACTTCAGTCCACAAACATGTAGGAGTTTATAAAACAAAGAGAAGTGAAAAGGCATCCAGTTGACAGGGGTAATGATGGAGAGGACTACTTGATAACAAATGTTCACTAAAGGGACATCTCTCTTTCTCAATAACTTCCAGTATGCAAAATAAACATTTTGGGGGAAATGCTGGGATTCTCTAGAATCTGGTAGTGCATTCACAGGTTCTGTAGTGAAATGAAACTGAACATGAATCCTGATCTGGACATATCTTGGCTGTGTGTCATTGGACTCCCACGCTCAGTGACTTGGTGTGTTAACAGAACAAAATGCTGCCATCTTCAGAATCATTTCAGCATCAAGTCTTCACTACTGGTTAAGGATCTTTCCAGCTTTTCTCTGTTCAGCCACTTACTGAAAACCTACCTTGTTGTCAGTAGGTACAAATGAGACAGAAACACACATGGTGTGGTTGATTCTGGCCATGTGGGGGAGATATCTAGATTAATCAATGATGCCCAAATCATGGCATTTCCAATCAGTTTGTATATGTGTAAAAGCTGGACAATTAATTCAAAGACCTTAAAAGAGTTGATATATTTTAATTACAGTGTTGGCAAAGAACAGTGAATATATGATGGACTGCCAAAATAATGAATAAATCTGTCTTGAAAGAAATAAAGTCTGAAAGTTCCCTAGACTCGAAGATAATGAGACTTCATCTCTTGTACGTTGGACAAGTTATCAGGAGGGATCAATCTCTGGAGAAGGACATCATGCTTGGCAAAGTCCAGAGTTGACAAAAAAAAGAAAAGAGGAGGAAGACCCTCATTGAGATGGATTGGCACAGTGGCTACAACGATGGGTTCAAACACAGCAATGACTGTGAGGATGGGCCAGACCAGTTAGTGTTTTGTTCTGTTGTGCATGGGTTGTTATGTGTCAGACCCAACTTAATGGCATCTAATAACAACAGTCTCCTTTATTTAAGATCTACTGATCAGGCATGCTAATCACATCTATGATTATCTTCACAGCAACACTTAGATTAATATTTGGTTGCATAACTGGGCCCTATAGCCTCTCCAAAGAAGTTCTGGTAGGGCTGTAGGATAAGCACTGAACTGCTAATCACAAGGTCGGTAGTTCAAACGCACCAGCCACTCCTTGGGAGAAAGATGAGACTTTATGTTCCCATAAAGATTTACAACCTCAGAACCCCTCTTCATGGTTGCAATGAGTCGGAATCAACTCAACAGCAGTGGATTTACAGTCTATCCAAGTCGACACATAAACCAGCACACATTGCTAAGGGGATTTTGTAGGTATGATTAAGTTAAGGCTCCTGAGATGGACAAATTACCTGAGTGAACCAAACAGAGAATGTCAGTTGAATCCGAGTTAAAGGACAGATGTGGTGACAAAATCAGTGATGCAGGCTAGATTCTGGAAAAGATGAGGAAATGGATTCTTCCCCAGAGCCTTCAGAAGGAAGGAAGCTGAACATACACCTTGATTTTATCCCCACAAGACACACTTTGGACTTCTGATCTCCAAAAGCTTTTGTTCTTTTAAGGCACCAAGTTGTGAGAATTAGTTATATCAGCAATGGGAAACCAATACACATCTGACAAAGTTGTCATGGAAACGAAACTCACAGTGCTGACAGAGAGTCAATATTCAATTTTTTAAAATTATTATCCAAGGGTTTTATTATCCTGTTTCCAAAAATATTAAACTATTTCATCAACCCCTTGAGGTAATTGCTTATCAAGATGGACTGCCACCTTTTTTTCCCCATTCTTCTTTATGAGATTTTAACAGTCTATTAAAATGACTCTGGGGCTTAATAAAATTGAAATGGGAAAGGAATTCTTCATTTGATGTCCAGGTATCCCTCCTCGGCTTGGTCGCCTGTAAGTAATTGCATCCTGTGGATAGTGTTGACTTTCCAAATTGATTTTCTTAGTGCAGTATGAACTTTCTGATGAGTGAATGTCCATG